AAAATAATCAACTGCACTATGAAATTAATAAATTAAAGATGCAGATGCAGAAGATAGAAAAAGCCTATGCTATTATAAAAATATTAGAATAAATTAGCATTTTCTTGGTATTTTTTTTCAGAATCTAGGGCTTGGCAAATTTTTTGGTTATTGTCTAGATGGAAAGTTTTGTCAGAAATATATAGAATACCTAAATTTCTAGGAAATATAGAATTTTGAACTTCCTGGAATATTTTTTTAGAAACTTTCCAAGACTATATTATTTACCTTTAATTGAATATATGTCTAGCCAACTAAATTTTAATAAACACTATAAGAATTTGCTTGATCAATTACCCTCATCTATGAAAAAAATGTATGGTTACGCCTTATAAATCACAAAAATAGACCATTATCTGAGAAACAGGTTAGGAGTATTCATTCAGACATTAAGGAGTTGCTTACTAAAGAGATTAATAGATACTATAACAAAAAAAAATCATCAGAAGATTAAGATTAAAGCTAATACCTAAAGCTCTGAACGGTTTGGATTAATCTGAAAATTTTCAGTTTAGATCAACTTCGGTTCAGTTTCAGATTGCAAAAATTTTAATCCGAAAATTTTCAGTTCAGTTTGGATTTTTTTTTGGATTATAAATCTAATCCAAACTGAAAAAAATCTGAACTGAACTGAAAATTTTGGATTAATCTGAAATTTTGGATCGTTTAAAATGATGAAATTATCATTCTAAATAAACGATAAAAGAATCATTTGATTGGAATGATTAAATTATCATTCTAAACGAATGATAAAAGAATCATTTGATTAGAATGATGAAATTATCGTTCCAAATGAACGATAAAAGAATCGTTCGATTAGAATGATTGAAGTTATCATTCAAAACAAACGATAAAAAAATCTAAATGAACGATAAAAAAATCATTTGATTGGAATGATGAAATTATCATTTCAAACGAATAATAAGAAAATCATTCAATTAGAATGATCAAATTATCATTCTAAATGAACGATAAAAGAATCATTTGATTGAAACTATTAAATTATTATTCCAAAAAATGATAAAAAAATCATTCGTTTGGAATGATTAAAGTTATCATTCCAAACAAATGATAAAAAATCGTTCAATTAGAACGATTAAATTATCGTTCTAAATGAATAATAAGAAAATCGTTCATTTAGAATGATTGAAGTTATCATTCCAAATGAATGATAAAGAATCGTTCAATTAGAACAATTAAATTATCATTCCAAAAGAATGATAAAGAATCGTTCATTTGGCACGATTGAAGTTTTCCAAATGAGCGATAAAAGAATCGTTTGATTGGAATGATTAAATTATCGTTCTAAAAGAATGATAAAAGAATTATTCATTTGAAATGATTGAAGTTCTAAACGAACGATAAAAAAATCATTTGATTGAAATGATTAAATTATCATTCCAATTGAATGATAAAAAAATTGTTCATTTGGAACGATTGAAGTTATCATTCCAAACGAATAATAAAAAATCATTCGATTAGAATAATTAAATTATCATTCCAAAAGAATGATAAAAGAATCGTTTGTTTGAAATGATTGAAGTTATTGTTCTAAATGAACAATAAAAAAATCATTCAATTATAACGATTAAATTATCGTTCTAATCGAACAATAAAAAAATCATTCATTTGGAACGATTGAAGTTATTATTCTAAACGAATGATAAGAAAATCGTTTGATTAGAACGATTAAATTATCATTTCAAAAAAACGATAAAAGGATCATTCCAAATGATTCAAAATTTTGGATTAATCTGAAATTTTCAGTTCAGTTCAAATTTTTACCAGTTTACAGTTCAGTTTAGTTTTAGATTGCATTTTTAGGATTTATAATCTGAACTGAACTAAACTGAAATTTTCAGATCGGTTTCAGATTGGCCTATAATCTGGACCAAACCGAACCATTCGGAGCATTACTAATACCTCTTCTGATAGTTCTAGTACATTATTCTGATTAGATAGATTTGAAAAACAATTAGAGAAACATGAGCTTCATATACAGCAATAGAAAAATAATATTAAGAAAACTATTGAGGCTCAGGTTACTGAAGAACGCAAATGTCTAAAAGATGAATATAATGCTCTTATGGCTCGCAAAGAGAATGAATATAATAATTGCATAGTAGATATGAAATAAAAGACATATTTATTTAAACATCAATTGGAATTCTAGCATAATTCATGCTTAGCTAAGCTAGAGAAGCAATATAAATCTCATATCTTTACTTTAGACAAATCTATAATCATAAAAGATAAAAAGATTAGCAAGTTGTCTGCTACTATCTCCCAACTTAAAAATGATAAGAAGAATATAAAAAAGTCAGTTAAATACAAGTCTAAAGATTTGGAGGATGTTATTTTTGCTAAAGACTTAAAGATTATTACTTTCAATAATAAGATTATTTCTTATAACCCTCATGTTGAAAGAGATGTGACAATAGAACTAAGTTCATATTTTTTCACTACGACACTGAATTATGAACTAGAAAGCAAGAAAAAGCAAAGAATGATATAAGTATCTGAAAAAATATACATTCTGAATATGTGTTTAGGTAAGATTTAATTGAATAGGCATCATATTTTTTCCTATAGACAGTTAGCTTCTTGCGAAAGGCAGTCAGTTACTTCTCATAGGCAGTCAGTCACTTCTCGTAGGCAGTCAGTCACTTCTCGTAGGCAGTTAGTTACTTCTCATAGGCAGTCATTCACTTCTTATGAGCAGTTAGTCACTTTTCGTAAGTAGTCAACTATTATTTGTGAGCACTAGTTATTTTTTTTCATATTTTCTCACAATTTACAGGAATAATGGAACTCTTTGAAGCAATACTGATATATACGGTCAACTAGTTTTTTTTTAGCTCTATAGCTTCTTTTGACTCCTTTTCTATAAATATAGAAATTACGCTGAGATTTGTGAACTGATAGAGGGATGATAATAGTCTTTCCATTTTAGTTTGCCTTAAATTCTTCCTTCACTAAAGGTTCCCATTCTGCCTAATATTACCATTGAGTATTGAGAATTATTAAAGATTTAGCATTTCTATTATGATCCTTTTCTGCAGGTACAACAGAAAATTTATCCATGATAGTAGCTGTATTTTCTCCAGAACTAATTGTTATGAAAATATTATCCATAGTACTGATAGATATTGATTAACTTGCAACTTTATTAAGCTTATAAATTTTTTTTCCTATTAATTTTAATACCTAAAGCTTTTTGACAAGTTTAGCAATATTCTCTGAAAATATGAAAGAATCTGAACCTGTATCAATCATTGCACATGGTATTACTAAACCTTTTATTTTACAATAAATAGTCGCAACATTGTCAGTATTTTTTATTTGTAAAAAATTTATTTCTAAAGGCTTGGGCTAATATATTTAGCTATTTTTTTTTAACTGAATGGCATTGTGTATATGTCTTAATAGTATAATTCAAAGGTATGCCCACTTTCTGAATGGTTATTATCTGGCAATGTTTCTATTTTCATAATATTATTTGTCATTTTTTCAGCTTGATGCGGTTCCTTAAGGACCTGCTCTTCCTGAACAGTCTGAGAAGGAAACAGAACTTGTAAAAGAGACTTCTGCTCAGTATTTACTACTTATAATAATGAAAGCAAGATCTTTTATACTTTTTTTGTAACATTCTCCAATGCTAATTCTCTTCTTTTAACTGTATCATTTGACATAACAGTATTCAAGCAATGGTCTTCTAATTTGAAGTATATTGTATTAATAAATTTCAAAATTTCTATAAGAATCTCTTTAGGGTAATGGGAGACTACTAATGATATTATAGATTTTAAGACTATTTGATATATTTGATCCATAGCCATGCGAAGCATCTCACAGCTGATTATATTGCCTGATGCTTTGCTAGCATGAGATTTGGAAGTAGGAGATTTCTTCTTGTGAGTCTTTTTCATAGATACTACACTTTGTACTACTTTTTTTATAGCATAGCAGTTTTGGTCAGTAATATTTAGAGCAGATCTGTTATTAGAGTTCCAGATGAGTTGAGTTAACTCACGAGTCAGATAAGCTGAGTCGAGTTCAAATCAAGTCAAGTTTATGTTTTTTTGATTCAATGATTTGCGAGTCAAGCCAAATTTAAGTTGAGTTAAATATTTAACTCAACTCAATTTAAACTTAACTTGATTCAAGTTAACTTAAGTTAACTCGAGTTAACTTAAATGATAAAAAAATCGTTCAAGAAGAACGATAAGAAATCGTTCAACTTGAATAATAAAAAAATTCATTCAACTTGAATGATAAAAAAATTCGTTCGATTTGAACGATAAAAAAATCATTCAAAAAAAATGATAATAAATCATTCAACTTGAATGATAAAAAAATCGTTTAAGAAAAACGATAAGAAATCGTTTAACTTGAATGAATAAAAAATTGTTCAAGAAGAATGATAAGAAATCATTCGACTTGAATGATAAAAAAATTGTTCAAAAAGAATGATAAGAAATCGCTCAACTTGAATGATAAAAAAATCATTCAAGAAGAATGATAAGAAATTGTTCAACTTGAATGATAAAAAAATTGTTCAAGAAGAATGATAAGAAATCATTCAACTTAAACGATAAGAAATTGTTTGACTTAAATGATAAAAAAAATCATTCAAGAAGAACAATAACGAATAGTTCGACTTGAATAATAAAAAAAATTGTTCAAGAAGAACGATGATGAATCATTCAACTTGAATGATAAAAAAAATCATACAAGAAGAACGATGATGAATTATTTGACTTGAACAATAAAAAAAATCATTCAAGAAGAACAATAATCTGAATCGTTCAACTTGAACAATAAAAAATTATTCAAGAAGAACGATGACCTGAATCGTTCAACTTGAATGATAAAAAAATCATTCAAGAAGAATAATGATAAATCATTCAACTTGAATGATATTAAGCCTAAACACTACGTCATTAGAATAACAAAGCTTATTTGCTAACAGGGAGTTTAAGTTGTAAACTCTGAAAGAAATAAACACGAATTTATTTAAGTTGA